ACCGCGATGGGCTGCTGACGACGGACGTCGTAGGTGTGCCAACCACCCCGTGGCACATTTGGCATCCTGAAGGTTCTCCTAACAGGTGGGGGAGCTCTCATCGGTTGGGCAAGTCCAAAAGGGAGACTTTTAAAAGGTGGGGCGCTTTGAGCAACCCACTGCCTGCGTTGCCCTCTTCCCCACGCAGGTGCACGTACTCCTTCAACGCTGCGTTCATATGATGGGTACCTCAGTCTGAACTGTCGTGGTCCCAATCTCTGCTGGACCGACTGGCTCGGTCCTGCTCCCCCAATGTTTAGCTTCCCGCGACACTGGGTACACAGCTTCTCTTCCTCAGTTGGGTCCAAGCGTGGCCCCTCCTGCACTTGGGAGGATGAAGCTCCCTGGGCCACATCAGAACTACCACTCGGCGGTGGCGTTGTATCTACCACCAGCTTGAAACGTGGCAGGTTGATCTTAGAGAAGTCGGGATTGACCATGTTGACACCGACAACGTTTGGGAATGGGTATGTGTCAACAATCATGGCCTCCTTCCTCGGCTCTGGGAACTTGAACCGACCTTTCTCAATTGCATCCTGCACAACATTGCGAAACACAACACACATGTTAGTTGAATGAGATGCACTGTTGTGCCATTTACAGTATCGTTTCCCTTTTAATTTTTCAGCTGGCGGGATAGTATGCCCCCCAGTCAACTTAATTTGACCATCTTTGTAAAGCTGGTCGAAAATCAGTTCTGATTTTGAGACATCAAAGGAATATTTTCTAGTTTGAATAGGAGCACGATTGGGCTTTCCACCTTGTGGTTCCCCCTCGGCCTTGGCTAGAGAAGCACACACATATGGCTTCCCTTGCACAATCTCGGCCAAATCAACTTCAACCTCGTCAACATCGTTGCCGACGTTATTCACACCATAGTTTTCAAAATTAGGGAAATATTGTCCGCGAGAGCCACTTCTCTTATGTTCTTCTTCACGGAGAAGAGATTCATATCTAACAGCGCAGGACATCAGTTGAAACAAATCAGAAAACTCCCTATCTTGAAACTTTTTACGAAGTTCAAAATTCAATCCACCCTGGGCCAGTTTAACAAACTCGCGTTCTGTCAAGTTCACAAAACAGCGATTTCTTGCATTTTTAAAGTTCGTTAAAAAGTGTTCCACTGTTTCTCCTGGCTGTTGGCGCATTCGTGCCAAGTCTGCCATTGTCACTTCTGGCTCAGAACGGTAAAACTGGGCATGGAACATTTGTTCCATTTGCTGCCAAGTTTGAACCGAGTTCGATGGCAAGTTGACGTACCACGCGAATGCAGGGCCGGTCAACGAGTTGGCAAACAATTGCAACTTCAAGAAATCACTCACATCACCACACTGAACCGTGAATCGTCCAACATGCTCGACGGTGGACTGATCCCCAGTCCCGCTGAAGGTGATGAAATCAGGCACGCGAAAACCACGTGGAAAGGGGTAGTATCTATCAACCCAATCCGGATATGGTCTTCGATACACCGGCGGCATCGCTGGTCTAATCCCTAAACCAAACTGATCCGCCAGCATCTGTGCTACTTGATCTCGAATCGCATTAACGTCTTGCCCCCCGAGTTGCCCCCCTTGTGGTACGAATCCACCAGGATCCATGCCAAGCCCGTTTGGAGGAGGAGGCACGTTTTGTGGGTAGCCGCGTGGCGGAACATGATCATTGTTGATAGTTCCTCCACCACCAGCACCGCTCATCGGAGCCACGTAGGGTCTGGCCTCCGGGATATTTTGTGGACCAACACCGTGAAACGGCGGTGGTTCAACCCGAGTGTTAGCGGCAGTGCTAGTCTCACCAAGATTAACTCGCGGAGTTGGTGGGTTCATCACCGGTGTCGGCGAAGCTCCTTGTCTTGGCGGACTAATCCGAGCACTGTTGTTTGGACAACCAGTTTCGCTGTTTAAATTGTTTTCACCGTTTAGCGGCAAATCCCTAGGTTGCATAACTGGTCTACCCAAGAGCTCCCTGATTTCATTCATATCACGTAGATTTTTATCCCCGAAAACATCAAAATCATGTCTGTTTTTAGTCACAACTTCAAAGAGTTGGCCTAAACGCCTATCAACACGAGACTCAAGAGAATCATGTCGTGCAGCTAAAGCGTCAAAACGTTGATTTACCTCGCCTTTGAAGCCTGCGAACTCATTGTTGAGGCTAGCAAACATGCGACGGTTTTCCTCCATGAAATGGCGGATTGACAAATCCCCAGTCGGCCCAGCTGTGGACGGCGGATTCTCGGACCCGCCGATGTCTTCAGCACCGATTCCTTGGCCTCCTTCAATGTTGGCCACATGTTCCTCCACGATTCCGGGCGGGACATCCCCTTCCGGATTCCTTCGTCGCGGAGCCATTCGAACACACGTGTCCCACCAGGTGTGCCAATTTGTTTCGTTGGCGAAACTCGTGTGTTAACTGCGCACGGTTTTCAAGAAAAACACAAAACACACGTCAATCACAACTGTCAAATATCCACCGCCGAATGTCGGCGCCGTTGATTTGATCGATTAAAGAAGAAACCAAGACGATCGTCAAATGGCCGCCGCCGGTGTCGGCGTCGTTGATTTGATCGATGCACCTTTGACTTCTAATCAAACAATCGTACTCGGTTCACCACCTCTCCAAACTACGTTCGAACGAGGGTGTTCAACGAGAAACGAGAAACCAAACCAAGAGCGTTCTAAGTTACGTTACCTCTACTCCTATGGAGGTTCCTCTGGAGAGCTCCGCAACTACGACTACGATCTACGACTACTACGACTCTGCAAAGGAGGTCTTTGACAGAGCGGTTCTACGAAAACTAGAGAGAAAAACTGATAATCTGCGGTGCAGTTTGTGAGTTGATTTTGCCGTCTCGAACTTCTCTCTCTTCCAAATTTTTATACTTCGCGCTTCTCTTCGTCGTAGTAACTGCCTTCGCGCCTTTGTCTCCCACGTCTTCACTCTTGTCAATCGTGCAGGTAACTTCCTCTTTGTTGCGTGATAATCACGTGCCCTCGAAACCGCTCTTGCTTTGCAGAAAACTCGGCGAAACGACCTACACCCTTGTCCATGTAACGATGCCGTTTCACCAACACCACGGCATTGCCTTTCATCAACCGGTGTCGTTTTATAATCCGACTCAACTGCCCCGCCCCGGTTTAACCAACGACATTGTTAGTCCGTCAAACAACGTCGTTCTATACTCTTGCGCCATCGTTGGGCTTGGCGAGTTGCCTTTGGCCGGCCAAACTTTTATCACTACTGCGATGTTGTTTTACTTTTTCGCGGCATTGCTTTTCCTTAAACGACACCGTCTAGAATAATAATAAAATACTACTTAATTAGACCTGCCCTCATTGTTAACTCGCCGTCGAACTTTCACCCCTCGGCGTCGTTCTTAGTTAAACAACATCGTTTCCTCGTCCCGCGATGTCGTTGAACTTTTGAGCTTCGCGACACTGTTTTAATTTTAACACTGTCGTTTTAACTGTTGCGGCATCGTTTGGCCTACTCGCGGTATCGTTTTATAATCCGCGATGTCGTTTCTTTCCTCTTGCGGCATCGTTTTCAACTAACGACACCGTCCTAAATAATCATTAACAATATTAGTTAATTAATCTGGTCATCACTAACTATAGCCAACGACATCACCTGCGCCACAACAACTCCGTTTGTTTTTCCTTTTTGCGACATTGTTTCTTACTTAAACACTGTGGTTTGCTAATCCGCGGTACCGTTGGGCTTACTCGCGGTACCGTTTTGAATTAAACGACACCGCCGATATAGCCAAAAAATATTAATCCATGGGACGTGCCGCAGTCGGCGTTCGCATTGGGCCGGGTGAATTTTGGTCACTTGCCCGATATGATTATTAATTGATCGGTACCGCTTACCATGCTCTCGCGGCACCGTTTTTAAATCCGCGGTACCGTTTTAACTCTCCGCGATACCGCTTGTCTCCATGCGGTACCGATTTTCCCCTTCCGACAAGGAATGAAGGTAATAATTAATTAGAAAAAAAACTCCTTCTCCAACAAGAAACCACCTGCGCGGCCCCCTTTTGTTTTTCGGTACCGTTTCCAATGCCGCGGCACCGCTGAGCTTCCTTGCGGTACCGTTTTAACTCTCCGCGGTGCCGCTTCTCACAAAGAATAAAAAATAATAATTAAATAATCAAAAATCCTCCTCCAACCTTCATTAAACGTGCGGCCCTTTTATTTTCGGCCTGCGGTGTCGTTTCCGGTGTTGCGGTACCGCTGTGCTTCCTTGCGGTACCGTTTTGATTTTCCGCGGCCCCGCTCAACACCAAACGATACCGTTTTTTAACCCGCGGTATCGAATTAAATGCCGAGACTAATTAACACGGCATTTAATTCTGGCCAAATTAATTTTAGGTGTCAACACTGCTGAAATTGTTTATCACCGGCGTCGTTAATCTCGCGAAGCCGGCAATATTAAAAGCAAAATTATTTTTAGGTGTAAACACACTCCTAGTTCATAAAATAGAACATCATCACCATCAGCGTGGCTCCTGTCAGTCTCTCCTCCCACGGCCTGAAACAGAAAAATCATTCTACATTATTCGTTAGTAAATCAAAGAGAACACCTCGCACTTTTCCCCCGCATGCTTTCAAAGCCCGCAGCTTCTGCCCCTGCTCAACGACAACAAAGTGGAGCAAATAGCTACTCAGTAGCACTCTGGGAGTATATACTCCCTTAACCACAAGGCTACATTACTGAAACTAACATACAAGTCCATCCAGTCAGCACTGGAGAAGCTTATCTACTTGAGATCCATACAAGTTGATGACACTTTTTTAAAAGTTTTGATGTCTAACACTATCCACATGACAGCACAAACACCACAAGGCAGAATGAACAAATAAATTGCATGAAGATCTTTGCTTCAGTCAAATTAGGCCATTAATCATTTTATCAGAAGAAGGAATTGAAACCTATACCTCTCCTTGGTTCCTCTTCTTCTACTAGCACCGGTTCTCATCAACACCGATTCCAACCAAGTTCACTGCACTCACGAGCAAGTTTCCTGCATTTGCCACTCCCTCACTACTGCTTTTAAGCTTAACAAGGCTCCCTGCCAGGACTGTAACTTCGCAAGTGTGTGATATGCCTCTAACTCTGACCTCTTCAACCTTCTTGCCTCTCAAATCATAGCTAACGAACTTGTTATTATCCTGAACAAACAAAACCTTGGAGCCATCACCCATATACGCAAGAGGGAGCACGAATCGGAAAGAAGGCTCATTCACTGGCGGTCCCAATGTCATTAGTATAGTCCAGGAATCTTTTACCCAGTATTTCTTCATTACCCACAAATCAACTGGCTTTGGTTAGTCACTAGCAATTATAGCGAGGCAACCTCCCAGTTCCTTCAAAATCAAGTGAAATACATGCTTTCCTGATATGGGCTGTTCAATTACTCGATACTCCAGAGTGCACAAATCCAATGCTAACCCCACCTGTAGATTCATAGCTACTAACCACCCAATGCAGGGGGAAAATTCCCAATATACACCCGTAATTAAAAAAAATTCCCAAAATATATAAATTATAAACAAATTTCCCAATTTACACATGTTTCACAATCGCCGCCTTTGTCAAAGACAATGAATGACATCACCGTTTTTGACAAACGCGGTGAACAAATCACCGCATTATGGTGAAACGGTGAACAATTCACCGTGGCTGTATAAAACGGTGAAAATGCAGGGAACCAATCACCGCTTTCGTTTAAAACGGAGAAGGCATTCACCGTTTTAAATAAAAGTGGTGATTATTCCCTACAACTGACAGGCACGGTGAATCTGGCGCGGATCGCTGACGTGGACAAACGCGGGGGAATTCACCGCGTTAGTCGAAAATGGTGAATAACCCGCGTCTGTCCACGTCAGCGATCCGCGTCGCACGGGCCTTCACCGCTACCGTCGGATGCAGTAAGGCGTAGATTTTGGTTTTCTTTCCAGATCCGACGCCTCACAGACTCCCACGTCATCGATCCTCGCCATTCATCGTTTTCCACAAAAGCGGTTTATTCACCGCGTTTGTCGAGGGCGATGATTGATCTGCATTGATTTTCGGCAGATCCATCCCCCTATAAATTGAACACTTCCCCCCCTTTTTCAAATCACACCACCACATTACACTTCTTTCTCCATCCATTCATCCTCTCTAGTCTCGTTCTAAGTATGCTCTGTGGTTGCAGCTAAGTCCAATCTTCCACATCAGAAAGAATTACTAGAGTTATATACCCCAAGCTCCCGTCCCTTAAAAACCCGTCGAAACTCTGTCCGGCTTTCGCCAAAAAAATGGACGAAGAGGCTCTTCGGGTAGGTTCTTGGTTTTTGTTTTGTGATTTTTTTCATCTTTCCAATTTATTTTTGTGATTTTTTTAATCAAAACAATCTGATTTCATTACTGTTATTTATATATGGGTGCCGAGATATACGATCCTCGATTGTATATCCATTATGGGCCAAGAGATACGAGGTATTTAACCGATCAAGAAACACATCGCTCCCGTGCAATTTGGGACAACAATCCGGTAAACACTACGTACCTTATCAACAATTTACTTTATTTCATAATTTAGTAAGGTTTTATTTTGCTTTCTTTTAACTAACAAATCGATGTATTTTCTATTTTTTGTAGGAATCACTTATTCCCGTCATTCATTAAGGGACCACTAATTTGCCCGCTTGGCATGATCGACTGTCGCTGTATATAGAGAGGACTGGGTTGGGTATGTTGAGGCATTTCATGCGGATTGAAATCGACAACGAACTGCTTACGGCAATGGTAGAGCGATGGTGCCCCGAAACCCATACGTTCCACCTTCCGGAGGGGGAAATGACGATCACCCTCAAAGACGTTGCGATCCTCACCAGGCTGCCGATAACTGGAGATGCCATCATTGGTACCACTACCAAACCCTATGCAGGTTGGAGTCCGCTCATTCGTGATCGTTTGGGCTTTGACATGCCGACCACGAGACCAATTCAAGGACGGGGGCATCCACCATTGAATACGGGACAAGTGTCGATCACGTGGCTTGTTACTCACAATCAAAATGAGGTTGAAATCGGCCCAGAGACTCAGGAAGATCAAGTGGAGCGTTATGCACGCATCTACCTCATTGGTTTGGTCGGTGGATTTCTGTTCCCCGACAAGTCGATCTGGTGGATTCTAGGCATATGGTTGCCAATGCTTCTTGGTGACTGGGATGAGATCGGGGGAAAGAGCTGGGGATCGGCCGTGTTAGCTGACATATATATGGAGCTTTGTAATTGCTCGAAGGTGGGAGCCAAACAATCTGGTGCTGCGATGTTCATCCTCCAGCTCTGGATATGGGAGCATCTTCCAATTTTCGCACCTCAAGGCCCACGTTCATACTGGAGAGCAGATGATGAGCTACGAAATCTGCAAAATCCCCCCTATGGTGTCAAGTAAGTTTATTCCATACTTATCCTAATTGCAAATTTATTCCATGCTTAGCTAGTTTTAAATTACATTTATTATGTACTTAGCTAGATTGTGGTTGTGCAATGTGCCTTTGATCTGCTGGCACATTGTGGAGTGGCACCTACCCGATTGATCCTTGAGGAAATATCGATTGGAGCAACCAATTCCACAATACGGGTATGTAATTTTACCAACTCTCGTCTGTCCGCTCGTACAAACCATGTCTGCGCAAATGTCATAGAGTTCTTAACACGTGAATCGCGACTCAATTTTCAACATAATGGATTCACCGTCCTCATAATCAATCTCAATGTCAGAGTTTGTCACCCTTCCATTCCATCGAATAATAAGCTGAAACTTCTTGAATTCGCCCATATCTACAATAAGTAACTATTAGCTTAATTCCAATAAAATTAACCAAAACCATATTGTACGACTAATATTACTCCATCTCATAACTAACAACAACATAAATTCCCAACTAACATAACATATTTGCTACGAAAAGTAATTCATTACATAAATATAACTACTAAAAACATCATTATATAACAATACAAAATTAAATCATACCGAAAATAGCTTCTTTGTATTTTGCTCGGTTTTTGCTTAAATTTGAAGAGGGAGGGGGGGAGTTACGTTTTTCCAACTGCTAGTGGGGGGTATTTATATGAAAATCGGCCAGCATTCACCGTATTCGTCAGAAGCGGTGAAGGCAATCATCGTCTTGCCCTAAGGCGGTGAACGGTAGGTGGTTGTGACCTAACTCTCACCTGCCAGTGGTGGGAAACGTGGGCAACTATCACCGCACTAGACTACAACGGTGATCAATTCACCGTCGTTAACAAAGACGGTGATTGCTTCACCGTTTATGTTAAACGCGGTGAACCTTTCACCGTTTTTGATAAAAACGGTGATTCCTTCATCGTTTTCATTTAACGCGGTGACTTATTCACCGTTTTCGTCTAACTTGCTGATTGCATTCACTGCCTTAAACAAAGGCGGTGAATGTGAAATATGTGTAGATTGAGATTTTTTTTATAACTTATGTATTTTGGGAATTATTTTTAATTACTGATGTATATTGGGATTTTCCCCCAATACAGAGCATTTTTTACGAGAACTCCATGGCGCCACTTGTACAGAGAGCAATAAGGGAAATCCCCAATTCGCTGCCATGCATTTGCCCTAACGCTGTAAACCTTGGCCTCGAAAAACAATGCACATCCTCGGGAAAAATGAGCCAACCTAACTAATTTGTAGTCGTGGTGAACAGAGTCATACCCGAAACCATAAATGAAGAACCCGCGAAAGGGAGCCCCCGGAGGAAGCTCAATCTCCGCCTTGAGGAGCATCCGGTGCTCGTGAGTGGTAGGGTTCCAGAATGCGATTTCCTCATCCAAGTTTCGGACCGCAAGCAGTCCATTACAGCAGCCGAGGATCCGAATTCTGAGCTTCGAGGGGGTGTTCCAGTTTCACGGCGGCGTTCAGACATTCGAGGTTCACAAAATACAGATATGTTTCATTGAGGACGAGACTGAGGTTGGAGGAGGCTTCCTTGGAGTGTCGGAGATGGATTTGGGCGAAAGAGGAATTGTCTATTTCGGAGCACCATGACTTGGAGAGGCAACGGACGCGAAGCAGTGACTTCACCGGCAGACGGCAGAGCGTGGCCGCTATTAGGTCCGCCGGGAGACCTTGTATTGTCGGCATTTTGCTCAACAGTTGCTGTGTTCCCTTTCCCGAAACCTATTTTCTACCTGCGCTCTTTGATTTGGTCACATATCCTTTTTTTCCACAAGGTCAAGTGATATAAATTCAGTCGGAAATAAGAAGAGTGTGGAAGTGGACTATTCGAACTTTCGATGAAAAGACATTTTGTGTCACATGATGGACAGTCCTATTGAGTTGACGAGAAACAAAACAAAAAGAAATCCAGTTAAAGAGAGAAGCCAAGCTCTGAGCATCCTCCAAGATAGCTCCACCTCGATCATGAGCCAAGGCACATCCTACCATCCGTCGAATCGATTGTTGAGAATCCCCATGAAATTTGACAGAAAAAAAAGAGTGTGTTATGCATAGTGTATGGCATCGCATAAAGCTAAACTTTCCCTTACAAATGGATCTTGTATTCCATCACAATACTTTCCGAAGGCAAAAAGAACATTACATGTCGCTTGGAAGGGTACGAAGCCAAAACTACCCCATTGGCCACACTTGACCACGCCATCAAATCATACATGTAATGTGTCCGAGGAAGTCTCTCCGATATCAGGAGCTCTACTACCAGGGTGGCGCGATGCTGAATAGCTCAAAAGCCTTGTTTAACACTTGGCCAAACAAAGACTCATAGAGTCGTCCAAACGGATTTAAACACTTTGATCCTTAAAAAAATAATGTCGTTCGGATTGTGAAGCACAAAGTTATGGCCGTCGAAAGTTTGTCGAAATCAAAAAATTGCTCGTTCGGGGTAGCAAACCACGTTTTTTTCGGGATGAAGGCGGGTTGCGGCTTGAAAGATCTCGAAAAATTATGAAAAATAAAAAAAAATCGCTATAATCGGATACCCGAACGCAAAGTTACGTTCTTTAGAAGTTCCAGCGCAAGTTAGGCTTCACCGCTACCGACAAATGAGGTGGAGCCTCCACCGCACCTTCACCGCGTTCCTCTGTCGCGGTGATGTATTCACCGCTTTAGTGTGCTGCGGTGAATGCCCAAACATGTTCAGATTGGGAATTTTTTATAAAACATGTGTATTTTGAGAATTTTTTATATGAACGTGTGTATACCGAGAAAAAATCTTAGGGAAAGTGATAGTATCCAACCCCGGTTATATTACATATCCCTTGCTGGAGAGGGAATGGGAGGTTGTGGTTACCCATGTGTTTCGAGAAACAAATTTTGTGGCAGACTTTATGGCCTCTGTTGGCCATTGCTTATGTGTCGGAGTGCATTTACTTGATACATCCTACTCTTCAATAATGGTTGTACTTCGACGCTATTGGGGTCCAAACCTCTCATCTAATTAATGGTTAAGGGGTTAGAGTGCCCCTCTACGCTCTGTTTTGCATAAAAAAAAATATATCCCTTAACTATATTGGTGATTTGTCCTTCTGCCCAACTCATTCAGAATGTTATTTAATCACAACGTATTTATAGTGTGCATACTAGTTTTTTCGAATTATTTGAAACTCTTAACTTTGTATAACATTAAGTTGATTTTAAACTTATTTGTCAATTTTTGAAATCATAATAACATTTCATAAATGGAGGATCAATGTATTTTTAACAATTATAACACTCAATAATCATTCACAACTTATCTATTTAATAATACACTCACTTAGCTATTTATAATTCAAAATAAAAATAAGATAGCAACGAAACAATTAGGCTAACAAAACATAACATAAATAGAAAATTATGGTTTTTACCCAATATTTATTTCTTTTGACGGGAGATACAATGCCTATATATCAAGCCTTAAATCTTAAAGTATTATAAATAATGCAATAAAAAATGGTTAGGAAACTAAAAATTATTCATTCCTACTATATGGTTATATGTATTAGTTTCTCAACAAATATATTTAAACCTCTACTGGGGCACCAGTCACCATGTTAATCCATGCAATGCATCCATGATTTTAATTCAAGTTTTTTACCTTACTGTGGTTAGTTCATATTAAAGCAAGTAATTCTAAATGATACATATAGTTAATTATTCTATAGGATAAAGTTAAATAATGAAACAATCTACAAAATTGGTGTTCGAAAATTGTATTCTCTTACGTTTATCCATTGGGCTTCATAGAAAGAAATATTCATTGAGAAATACTCAGAGCAACACTATACATAGACAAAGATGTTAATGAAATTTAAAATATCTCTCATACGACACCAAATATCTTTAAAACTAGATGGTTAATAGCAAAATGTGAGCCAAAGAATTATAATCGGCTTTCTAAATTTCCTCAAACAAACAAATGAATTGATTATACAAAGTCGATAAACACCTTAGATTTCTATTATATAATGAGTTTGAATAACACATGAAACAACAAAGAGAGTTTTTTTTAAACCAAAGATAGTTTGTATTACCAAGAGAAAAATAGATCAAACGTTTACATCTACGAACGGAGCCAAGCGTAAAAATCAAAATCTAGCACAATACTAGCTGACAATACGAGGGCCTTCCTTACCACCATGTGGGCAACCCTATTGTTTTGTCTACCAACGAACTGTACAACCAGGGGAGGAGCTATGTGGTCGCCCCCCCCCCCCCCCTCCCCCGTTGGAAGATTACATATAATTTTTTTTTTAAATAAACTCTTGTCCAAAAACTTACACGTTAAGATGCTTATAGTCTAGCGGAAGAAATTAATTCTGAAAGTTTGTGAGTGCGTGTTCGATTCCCGCAGTAGGCTACTTTTTATATTTTTACTAACTTGTTAGTTTAATTTGTGCATTTTAGTTCAATTTTTTCAACTTTCAAATACACATTCTTAAGAATCCTTTTGGTTGTATGACTAATTACATATTTTTTTTTCAAATAATAGAGACCATTCATTTTTCGATTAGTTTGAAGAGATCTTTCTATAATTTTACCTTGTTATTTGAAGAGATCTTTCTATAATTTTACCTTGTTAGTTTCAGTTAGTTTAATTTGTGCATTTTAGTTCATTTTTTTCAACTTTCAAATACACATTCTTAAGAATCCTTTTGGTTGTATGACTAATTACATTTTTTTTTTCAAATAATAGAGACCATTCATTTTTCGATTATATAAACACTAAGCAACATTTTACACAATAAAAGGTAAAATGTTTCTATTAAGAATCCTTTTGGTTGTATTTGAAGAGATCTTTCTATAATTTTACCTTGTTAGTTTCAGTTAGTTTAATTTGTGCATTTTAGTTCAATTTTTTCAACTTTCAAATACACATTCTTAAGAATCCTTTTGGTTGTATGACTAATTACATATTTTTTTTCAAATAATAGAGACCATTCATTTTTCGATTAGTTTGAAGAGATCTTTCTATAATTTTACCTTGTTATTTGAAGAGATCTTTCTATAATTTTACCTTGTTAGTTTCAGTTAGTTTAATTTGTGCATTTTAGTTCATTTTTTTCAACTTTCAAATACACATTCTTAAGAATCCTTTTGGTTGTATGACTAATTACATTTTTTTTTTCAAATAATAGAGACCATTCATTTTTCGATTATATAAACACTAAGCAACATTTTACACAATAAAAGGTATAATTAGTTATTTGTTTTTACTTTACTCATTTGTTTTGAACATAATGTATAGAAACTTAGTCTTAAATTCTAATTTCGATGATTTTTTATCTTAAAATAATGTAGTGTCATAATGTATTTTTACTAACTTGTTAGTTTGAAGTGATCTTTCTATAATTTTACCTTGTTAGTTTCAGTTAGTTTAATTTGTGCATTTTAGTTTATTTTTTCAACTTTCAAAAACACATTCTTAAGAATCCTTTTGGTTGTATGACTAATTATATATTTTTTTCCAAATAATAGAGACCATTCATTTTTCGATTATATAAACGCTAAGCAACATTTTACACAATAAAAGGTATAATTAGTTATTTGTTTTTACTTTACTCATTTGTTTTGAACATAATGTATAGAAACTTAGTCTTAAATTCTAATTTCGATGATTTTTTTTATCTTAAAATAATGTAGTGTCATAATGTATTTTTACTAACTTGTTAGTTTGAAGAGATCTTTCTATAATTTTACCGTGTTAGTTTCAGTTAGTTTAGTTTGTGCATTTTAGTTCATTTTTTTTCAACTTTCAAATACACATTCTTAAGAATCCTTTTGGTTGTATGACTAATTACATATTTTTTTCCAAATAATAGAGACCATTCATTTTTCGATTATATAAACACTAAGCAACATTTTACACTAAGCAACATTTTTCAACATTTTACACCCTCGCTCAAGAATTTTGCGAAGAACCTATATATTTTTTGTATAAATTTTTTTACTTCGGAATAGCCGACACACCTTCAATAATTATAGCCGACACACCTTCATTATAGTCGAAGAATTTATTATCCAAATGAATCCATCTTAATCATAATCCATTTTTTTTTTTTTTAAATAACTCATAAATCATAATCCTATCACTTTCTATATAAAAAAAGAACTCTCAACCCATACAATATATATGTGTGATGTGTGTTGGGTATGGGTCTATAATTAAAAGAGAAAAAAAAAACCACAGGCCAAATGGCCAATAGCCCAGGCGGACACTCTTTTTTTTTTTTTTACGGGAATCTGAATTCATTTCATTAAGGTCTGCTATCCATTACAGGCCGGGCCAAATCCGCTTCCAAAAGACACAAGATAGACATCGGAGGATTATCCACCCAAACATGAAGGTTATCTCATCTACCTACCGAATGAGCCAGCCAGTGAGCGATGGTATTGTTTTTGCGGGGAGCAAAGCTCCATCTCACCGGAATACCAGAGAGACTCTCATTCACCAACGCCAGTCTCCAGATTTCCTCACACCAAAAGCCCACCTCCGTCCTATCCCCATCCTTCTTGATCAATTTACTGATCAACACCTGGCAATCCGACTCCACAATGAGGGGGCTGAGCTCCCTTCGATTAGCTTCTCGTAACCCCATTGCTATAGCTCTTGCTTCACCCTCAATTGGCCTGCACACACCCTTCTCCTTCAACGCACAAGCCCCTTTGAAATCCCCCTTCCAATCTCTAATGATGCAGTCCATCCCGACCCCTGTTGGCTTCAAGAGCCCAGCATCCGAGTTTAATTTGAAAACTTAGTTTACTTGCTGTTGAAATTGTTGTTGACTTTACCTGTTGCAACTGCAAGCTGCGAAAAAGCATTTTCAGCTATGAAGATAATAAGATCAATCTTCGAAATCGGTTGAGTGACCAATTTATGAATGATTGTTTAGGTGTGTATATTGAAAATATTTGCTTTGCAGCATAAGTGATGAATGTATTTTAGAGACATTTCAATAGATGAAAAGTCGTCGCGGTTCGTTATAAATATGACATTGTGAACTTTATGAATTAATTTCTTTTAATTTCTACTTAATTTTTTAATTTAATTTAATTATTATAGGATTTTATCGGCGACACACCTCTCCGATAATCCTGGATCCGCCACTGCTTGGCATCTCCCAGCACCAACATCCCCTCCCAGTCCTGAACCATGCACCAAGAAAAGAGAGTTTCAACAAAAGATGAATTTGAACAATCAATTTGAAGAGAATACATAAAACATTATTATATGAATTGTTTCAACCTATAATACTAAATTTTTTGAGGAAGATCGCGGATAATAATCTCTCTCGCCAAGAGCTTTAACCAGCAATATTGTGAAGTGGGCAAAATCATAACAAGTTGCGTCAAGAACTCTTCATCCATAAATGATAAAACAGTCGCATACTGGACAAATACTAAGGTATGGAAAAGTTGGATCTCGGAAGTATGATCTTGTCGCTTGAAGGACCTCTGATTTCCCCAGGCCTAGGTACTCCATTCCTCTGTCTGGAGCTCGATCGATTTCCCTCCATAAATTGATTCTTCCGCAAGATGAGCGATTGTGGAAACGGAGCGGAAGAAGTGAAAGAAAGCTGGGCCTGTTCATCAGGCCTCAAAACAGTCACTCGGCTTGTTGAAGCATTTGGGCGGTGGGGTTTTCTACTGTATCCAGTAAAATGTGAAAATTGAAGCAAATGACAAGTTTAATTATTGAGCGGTAATTATCTGGTCAAATATAGCAACGCCATTAAAGCTAAACAACTAACGGAAGCTCAACTCAACGATCCAGTGCCCAAGATTAAAGATCCTGTTCTCTCCCCGTTCCCCCTGTAATTCCTGATCCAGCCACCACGGAAACTGGGGAAGAAGCCGAAGTAGAGACTGAAACTGGGTGGCTGCCGCGGCAATACTCTGACCGGCCAAGACAATCTCCTTGCAGGAAGCGTCCAGTGACCATTTTGGATGAGACCCGACAGAATTCAGCTGCTAATGGCACCGCTTCAATTTTCGGTACCGGTAAATCTCTCTCCCCCATCTTTTCTCGCTTCTCTGTTCCTCTTTCCTCCGTCGTCGCTTGCTTTTCTCCCATTTAATGTGGGAACTTCTGTGTTGCTTAGTTGAGTATTTCCCAAGCTTGATCCAGAAAACAAAAGGTCAGCTCTTTTCCGATTTGGCTTGGCATACGAAGCTTCCCAAATCCCAACTAGCAAAAAATTTCCTGTACTTGTTCATCTTGTTTCCTCCCTTATGACGTTGACCCTTTTGCGGTCGATAAGAGAGACGCAAAACTGATGGCATTTAGAGAGTGAATGATTGGGAAGCTGACATGATTGGGAATTTGCTTGGAAATTTCGCTGGTGGTTGTTGTTCTCTTTAAATTGGATCCTGGGTACGCTTTGAATTGTAAGCAAAACCTCCATCCATGCAAGTTCTTAGGCGGGGTGTAGTAGTAGAACACTCTGCTGGGTTTCACAATGAGGCTTTCAATACTTGGGTAACTTTGAATTCTTTGTTTTTCATGGTTGAATTAGGGTTTTCAAACCTCTACTCTGGTTTGGGTTACTGACTAATGCTAGCTAAATTTGTTTGGTCACAACCCAATGGTCACCGTTTAGAATTTTGCATATCAGAAACTGAGGCATATCCATAATTTCTCTGCTCAGTTTACTGACCAGTCTCCTTTTTCTGCTATGTGTCTGCTGTTTTACTTTCTTGCTTTTGTCATTTGAAATCGAACATATGATGAGTGTATTCCAAAGAAAGAAGTTCAGGAGTGATCTGTGAAGTTTATCTCTCTTTATTTTGTTGTGATTGATTGTAAACAACAGACAGAAAGCATCAATGATTTGTCTGAAAAATTCCATGTTGTTGTTTAGGTATTGAACTAATTCAGCCTCGGCTACATAATCTTAGATTGCTTCCTCTTTGCTCATCTTTCTGGTAGATAACTAAAACCTAGTCATATGTTTGAATGGACAGATCTCGTAAGATTGCAATCCGGTTCTTTTCCACTGTCCTAATGGCTTGTGATAGTCCAAGGGAGCCGTTGCTTTCAGGGTCATCCAATCCCAACCCTCAAATGAGCTCATCAGCAAATGCTCCAAAGAGAAGGGTGCTGAGACGTATTAGGAGTGCTCCTCAAGCGGATTTGGCTCCTCCAGCACCAGCTGGCAAGGACAATGGGTCGATCCCCTGTGCAGAGTCTATCTTTGGGAACCTTCACCCTAGTATTAAGCAAGTAGCTATTTACTTGACTATCTACTTGGGCCTTGGCACGCTATCCTTTTACCTTGTGAAAGATGACATCACAGGGAAGAAGACTAACAATCTTCTCGATGCCCTATACTTCTGTGTTGTCACCATGACCACTGTGGGATACGGAGACCTGGTCCCAAACAGTGCCGCCACGAAGCTACTCGCCTGTCTGTTTGTCTTCAGTGGGATGGCTCTCGTTGGCCTGATAGTGAGCAAAGCAGCCGATTACTTGGTGGAGAAGCAAGAGATTCTGCTAGTGAAGGCGATGCACCTGCGAGACAAAACCGGCCCAACCGAAATCCTTAAAGAAGCCACGACCAAAAAGGCGAAGTACAAGTGCCTGTTGACTGCAGGAATCATTGGAGTGCTCATGGTGGCTGGAACCGTGTTCCTCTGCCAAGTCATGAAGCTGGGATTCATTGATGCCTTCTACTGTGTGTGTTCCACCGTCACCACCCTGGGCTACGGTGATAAGAGCTTCTCCACGAGTGGTGGGCGCCTCTTCGCTGTGGTTTGGATAATGGTAAGCACCATTGGGCTAGCTCAGCTGTTCCTCTACGTGGCGGAGGTGTTCACCGAGAGCAGACAGAGGGCACTGGTGAACTGGGTTCTCACTAGAAAGATGACCACTGGGGACTTGGAGGCTGCTGATATAGACTGTGATGGCCATGTTGGGTAATTCTGCTGCTGCTGCTTCTCTTGTCTCCCCATACATTGCCACTCGATCGTAAGCTTTTGTCCAACTCTTTGTGCGTGTGCTTTTATTGACAGGTGTGCGGAGTTTGTGCTGTACAAGCTGAAAGAGATGGGGAAGATCACCCAGGAAGATATCATGCTGGTAACTGAAGAATTTGAGGGCCTTGACGTCGACCAATCGGGTTCGATCACCGCGTCTGATCTGTTTCTGGCTCAATCAACTGAAGCAAAGAATTGAGGGCTATTATCCAAAGAAGTCTCAAGTGTTTGGTCTGCTTGTATGATGTGTATGCTAATGACTAATGATTAATGTCCATGTTCTGGTGACATCATGTGTAGAGTAGTAGCGTCCTCTAATGTCAAAATTTTCCTGTAAACTTTTTCTTCCTTTGATTTCCTTACCCACCGCACCGTTGGCGTATGTATGTAAGCTATATTTCGCTGGGAAAGTGGCCCAATGGTGGTATCTCGTCTATTTGTTTGGGCTTTCTGGCCCATGAAATGGGGCTCCCGAATCCACAACCATATTCGGATTCCACACCCGACAGCCATTTGTCAAGGATCAGTGGATCAATGGCGTGGGCCGCACACGAGTACCGTCCATTTGTCTCGACCAATCATGGCCACGTGGAGTGGATGGGATGGGACCCACCGCCGCATCAAAAATTCAACGTCTCTGCTTGAAGGTCGTCCCGGAAGAGAATATTGAGCAAATCAACGTAATAGACAGACAATAATGATAATATTATTATTAATTTTTGCGATTGTTATTTTTAAATTACGTATAAATTCTGCTCGACGCTGCACCCAGGAATATTTAATCGGACTGTGATCTTACATGGTAGAGGTAGGCTAAGATTCACAAGTACCGAGAGCCCCTTTTCTTTTTCTTAATTCTTAATTAAGACGACTAGCCCCCTAAACAATTAGTCTTTCTTAAACTTATTGAGGGATGGGTTAGCATGCTAATCCCTTAAGGGTTGGAAAAATGACACCCCTAGTGTATTAAATACAACTATAGAATTTAATACACACATTAAATACACATTAGGAATTAAATGCACAATATTAATTATTTTTTTTTCAAATTAAAACCTACACTAAATATATTCTCTCTCCTTATATCTGATTTTTCCTTTTTCAGCACCACCAGACTTCCTCCGACCGCCACACTTCTCCGGTGAAAATCTCATCGGCAGACTCCCTCCGAACACCTGCAAAAAATATACCACTGCACTGATACGTTGTACCACTACACTGGTAGCTATACCACTGCACTGGTAGCGATATCAGTGCACTGGTACCAATGTCATATATGAGTATCAGTGCAGTGGTACAAATACCAGTACAGTGGTACAACATATCAGTGCAGTGGTATATTTTCGCAGGTGACCGGAGAGAGTCTGTCGTCGGATTTTACCGGCGAAATGTGGTGGTCGGAGGAAACTTGGTGGTCGGAGGCTGCTCGAAAAGGAAGAATAGAGATAGGAGAGAGAAAGATCAAAGATGAGAGAGAATTATATTTTTGTATATGTTTAGATTTTTTTTTAAAAAAAACGAGTAATTAATGTGGTGTATTTAATACTTACTTTTTATCTAATAACAGAACATTTATTATGGTTACTTTCATTAATACTAGTCAATAATTAATGAAAAATTGATCAATTAACAAGGGGGTGTCATTTTTCCAACCCCTTAAGGGGTTAGCATGCTAACCCATTCCACTTATTGAGAGAGGGACACATGGTCTATTCTTCCCTATTTTGTTTTTATGGGTGTTAATACACTTGCTAATTAATCACCATCAGAAGTGTTACGATTACGAGTCACGAGGGTAGGATACTATGCATACCTTTAAAAAAGTTGGTTTTTTTACACCCTTCTCAATTGGTCAATTTTTCCATTAATCATTGACAACTATTAATGAAGGTAAACATAATAAATGTTCTGTTATTAAATACAAAGTAAGCATTAAAGACACCACATTAATTACTTGTTTTTAAAAAAAATCTAAACATACACAAAATACAATTCTCTATCATCTTTGATCTTTCTCACTCCTATCTCTGATTTTGTCTTTCCCAGCAGCCTCCGACCACCACACTTCGCCGGTAAAATCCTGTCGATAGACTCTCTCCGATCACCTGCAAAAAATATACCACTGCACTGATATGTTGTACCACTATACTGGTATTTGTACCACTGCACTGATACTTAGATATGACATTGATACCAGTGCAGTGGTATAGCTACTAGTGCAGTGGTACAACGTATCAGTGCAGTGGTATATTTTTTGCAGGTGGTCGGAGGGAGTCTGCCGATGGGATTTTCATCGGAGTAGTGTGGCGGTCAGAGGAAGTCTGGTGGTCGGAGGCTGCTGAAAAAGGAAAAATCAGATATAGGGAGAGAGAATGTATTTAGTGTAGGTTTTAATTTGAAAAAAAAAACAAATAATTAATATGGTACATTTAATTCCTGATGTGTATTTAATGTGTGTATTAAATTTTATAGTTGTATTTAATACACTAGGGTGTCATTTTCCCAACCCTTAAGAAATTAGCATGCTAACCGACCCGAATTACGAACATAATACTGCTCCTAAGGGCTAAGGTGGTCGGTGGCCGTCCATTCCATTCCCCTAAAAACAAATAAAACTAAATGGGTCGGCCACCGGTGGGTAGAGTGCAAAACTATTGAGTGATAACCACTCTACTTATGTGTCCAATCCACGGTTTTCTGTCGGGTAAATTCTTATGTAGTTGGATCATACATTTCGTCATTAACAATTAGTGGAGAATGTGGTGATAATTTTAGGCAAAATTCACTTTCATAGTCATAACTATACACTTTGTGACAAATATAGCCAAATTTTGAAAAATACACAGAAATAGCCACAAATTTGAAACTACCTTGACAATTATAGCCATTTTCGTTAAAAATATTGACAGAGTTAAAAATGCCGTTAACATCCGTCAACAACAAGCTGAGATGGCGCCTCGTCAGCTTCCACGTCAACTCTTAGTCGACGTGTCATGCCATGTCAAATTAAAAATATTATTTATTACAATTTTTATTTGTGAAAATTATTAATATTTTCCCGAATTGGGGATTCTTCCTGTAACCCACCGCCGACTCTTTCTTCTCTCCCGATAGCGCCTGAAACAAATATTTCCAGTAGCGCCACCACGTCAACTCTTAATTGACCGCTTCTTCTCTCCCGATGGCGCCTGAAACAGGAGACGCCATCTGTGGACCGCATTGAAAGCAGGGGAATCAGCGAGGGAGAGCTTGTCGGAGGCGGCGAAGAGGGAGTCGTGAAGAGATTCAATTTGGGACTCGAAGTCGGAGATGAGGTTATCGCGATCGGCGAGCTTGGCGCAGAGGGAAGAGGATTCGACCTCGAGGGATCGGAGGAGATGCGAGTGGCGAGGGCGATGGAGGTGATTTTGCGGGCGACGTCGAGCTGCTCGAATGGATCCGACGACGGCACTTGCAGTACTTCTTCGGGAAGGTCGAAGCAAATGGAAGAAGAAGCGGCGGCGCCACCGCCGTCCTCTCCCGCTTCTTTCTCCACCACCTCTCTCTCCCTCCCACAATCCTGCTTACTCTTTCAATTTTTTCAGGTCTGATAATGGCTGCCTCAGATGGGTAATGGGTTTGGGGTTCTTACATACCTAATCCCACTGCAACCTTCATCCGGCCGCCTTGTAGTATGTCCCCTCCGACCTCCGGTAAGCGCTTTAATTTTTCAAAGGAATTCGTATCGTCACCATTGGCTTTTGTTTGAACAGCTTCTTCACTGGCGGTGGTGGCGGTTTAGAGTCGAAATTGAACTCGGAGGGATTGCAATCGGGATCGTTAAAAAGGAGAATCGTTGCTGGTGGTAGTATTGCAGCGGCTCCGCAAACCCTAATCCCCAAATCCGTGCCGCTGTCACCATCGCCATTGTCACCATCGATCGATATGGAGCTGTGGTTGCGGGTGTGGTTGCATGTGTTCGGCGGATAGAGAATAAGAAAGATGGATCCCCCTTCCCCAAAAACATCCACCGACGGCTTCCACAATCAATTTCCCTCTCCTCTGCTGACGGAAAGCTCCCTCGAGAAGAATGGGAAGGGTGGATGGAGAATAGGAAAGAACATGATAATTTGGTAAAGTAGAGTATTTTTTTATTGATAAATATAATTAAATTTATTTTCCACCTTAGCATGCCACGTAGATCAAATTAGTCGCGGTCATAGAAGACCGTTTGTCCAGTCAGCCGTCGTTATAGTTCCGTTACATTAATGGACGGAATGGCTATTTCTGTGTATTTTTCAAAATTTGGCTATATTTGTCACAAAGTGTAAAGTTATGGCTATGGTAGTGTATTTTGCCATAATTTTACAAATTAACTTGATCGTACAGTTCTTATGACCCAATCAATGATCGTGTAGTTTTCAAAATTTTCCTCTCTACCGGAGAGAAAAAGAATATTGACATAGTTCAAGGTTATTGACGGGTCCACTCGCCAAAACTAAAAAAAACACCAATTAGGAAACCTGTTCAACGCTGTAATTATTGCCAGGAAACGCATTATTAAATTATTATTATTGGGGTAAGCAAAAGCAAGATGTCTATTGACTACGCATTACATCATCGAAAGTTTCAAATTACAAAGTAAATCCCCCCCAAATAAAAGCCCAATAATTGGACTGTTACTTATTCTGCAACTTGATTAGCAATTAATTGCAGCAACGGCTTCCTCCAACAGACAAGAAAAGGCAGTGGCAGCAGCTGGAAGTTAAAATAAAAAACCCTTTTTGGCTCTTACTACACTACAGTGGTAAAAAATGGCGATCGTAATTCACCCACCCACTTCCCTGCCCACTACAGACATCGCCGTACCATCCTTATCGTTATCAGTCACACCACCACCATTAATTCAGGCGACCTGAATATCAACATACAGAAAATAATACAGCGGGGAGAAGAAAAAACGAAAAAGAAAAGTAGTAATTATCATTGATTAACTAATAAGAAACGTTTCATCTTCCTCCAATCCTTTCAATCTCGCCGTTCAACTTCCCGTCAACAGGAACGGAGAGAAACCCAACAGAAAGTCAGAAACACCAAAAAAAAAAAAAAAATTGGTAGGGATTAAGAGGAGAAAGAAACATTCAGTCATCGGTTTCGTGTTCCAACTGGCCGGAGGTGAAGCTCTCCGGCGGATCCGCCTCGACGGCGGGGGGTTGGCAGGCGACGTAGTCCAGCAGGCCTTTCGCGGCTTTGTCGCCGCAGGGATCGGGATCGGCGGCGAGAGGGGAAGTCTTGCCGAAGAAGACGATGGCGACGAGGAAGAGGCCGGTGGAGAGGTAGAGGGGCCAGAAGTAGGCCAAAATGGCAAGCAATCTCGGGGCAAGGTAGATTAGCGAGGCGGCCAGGAGGGAGAGGACGGAGGCGGAGATGATGTGGAGCTTGTACTTGAATAGATTTTGTTGGATCTCCATCGCGGCGGAGGCGGCGGCGGTGCTGGAAATTGGTGATGGTTGACGGAGAGAGGAGAGAAATTAGATAGGAGAATGAGTTGGTGGTGGTGGTGGTGGTGGTGGTGGGAGAAATGAAGGATCTGATGTTGATGCTTATGCTTATCTTAGAATACACAGTGTGCAGTGGGCAGAGATTCCTTTTGAGTATCCAACTAAAAATTGTTCTTCCTACTTTGCTCTCTGGTTAAAATGGCAAATGGCCTAAATGGACCCTATAGTTTGGTGTTTTTACCATACAAGCCTCCCGATTTGAATCCTTAACATACGAATCCTTGTCACAAATTAATTCTTAACAAAAAGGTCATCTAGTAGATGTATCAATTCAATAGTAGGATGTTAAAATATGGGTTCGGCGAGTCGAAGAAGTGAGGCGAACCACTCGTTGTTTGTATACAACTGTTCGTCTGTTCGGTTCTATACTTGTTGCGGGTTTGGCATTTTGCGCGAGCTAGAGAGAAAAGCACGAAGAAAGAATTCCTCTCTAGTATGATTCCAATCCCCCATTTCTTGACTCCATCGATTTTAATTGTCTCGGCTGATCACCTTCTTCTAGGCACTATTAGAGATAAAGAATAAAATTCTTTATTTCCATTTTCCTTTATTATTTGTCCTAGTTATACGCACCTGTACAACCACCTCTCCACTCCTCTGTAAACCCTCCTGAATTCTCTGTACCAACTCTCCTGTAAACATGTATACAGTGAACATAATATCTCAATGCAAATCACGTTTGATTGCAATCTATTCCTATCTCTCAAATCCAAATATCCTCTCATGGTACCAGAGATAGCAAAGATCAACTAGTCGGATCCAATTCCCCTCTACCCTTTGTCATTCCCTGCTCTTTCTATACACTCTGTTTTTCATCACAATGTCAGCCAATTCTGCGCTCACCAACACAGCTACCTCTGTGAAAATTCCAACAATCGTCACTTTCAATCCAGCAGCTTAGCTTCCTTTGAAACTCACTCCAACTAATTTCGCCTCCTGGCGCTCACAGCTTGAAACTCTGCTCATAGGTCTGGATTTGTTTGGATTCATCGACGACACTGTCGTCGCTCCAGCTCGCACAATCACAGTGGATGCTGCAAACACACCCAATCCAGCTTATCAATACTAGTTTCGTCAAGATAAACTTATTATTCATGCCTTACGATGCTCAATCTCTGAATCAGTTTATTCCTTTGTTTCTGCTGCGTCCACATCCCGCGCTGCTTGGTTGACTCTTGAGAAGCTTTATGCGAGCAATGCTCAGTCTCGTGTGATCCACTTGAAAGGGAAATTAGCCAAAACCACAAAAAGCGATCATGATGTTCTGACATTTGTGAACGATCTAAAAAGCATTGCGGCAGAGCTAGCACTCATCGGCTCCCCAGTCTCTGATATTGATCATGTTGTGTTCTATCTCCGTGGTTTGGGAGAAGAATACAACGCCTTCTCTGTAGCAATCCGAGCTCGTGGACCTGGTCTAACACTGTAGGATATGGTGGACTCCCTTGTTGAGTACCAATCGGATCTAAAGATGCAAATGAAGACCTCAGTTCCGACTGTTTTCTTTTCGCAGGGGCAGCGGCAGAGCGGCAACGTTGGTTGCTCTTCATCTCGCTCCCAGCGAGGGTCCTCCATCCCGCTCCGTTTTTCCAGCCCTTCCCACAAGGCCTCTTCTTCACAGGCTTATCTCCAGCAGGCCTAAAGTCCACTTCAGCAGCCTGACTACAATGGGTCACCATCTGCTGTCTCTTCTTCCACACGCAGGTAGCCTGTTATATGCCAATTCTGTGAGCGTCTAGGCCACTCCGTACACCAATGCTTTAAACTTTTCCCCCAGGCTCGTCAGGCGTACCAGGCTCGTCAATCTCAGGCTCATCACACTGTTGTTGTTCGTGATAATTCCACCGGTCCATGGTTACTTGATTCTGCGGCATCTCACCATGTCACCTTTGATTTAGGCAACTTATCCCTTTATTCTGATTACAATGGACCGGATGAGATTCTGGTGGGCGATGGATCAGGTTTGAAAATTACACATATTGGGTCTACTAAACTGCATTCCCCCACGTCATCTTTTCAATTACAAGATGTTTTATGTGCACCTGCCATCAAGCGTAAACTCATTTCTCTTGCCAAGCTTTGTCGCACTAACCCCATTTCGGTGGAATTTTTTGCTAATTGTTTTGTTGTGAAGGACCTTCGCACGAGGGCCCCACTTCAGAAAGGGGCAAATAATGGGGATGTCTATGAGCTGCCTAGTAATGTGGATAATGTTCATCTAGCCCTTGTCTCCACTCGGACCACTTCCACCTCCTGGCATGCGCGCCTTGGTCATCCGTCCGCTCAATCTCTCACCAGTCTTCTTCGTTCATATTCTTTGCTAGTATTTAGGGATGGCAACAAAACCCGAACCCACGGGTACCCACACGACCCAACCCGGCTCGTCAGGCGTACCAGGCTCGTCAAACTCAGGCTCATCACACTGTTGTTGTTCGTGATAATTCCACCGGTCCATGGTTACTTGATTCTGCGGCATCTCACCATGTCACCTTTGATTTAGGCAACTTATCCCTTTATTCCGATTACAATGGACCGGATGAGATTCTGGTGGGCGATGGATCAGGTTTGAAAATTACACATATTGGGTCTACTAAACTGCATTCCCCCACGTCATCTTTTCAATTACAAGATGTTTTATGTGCACCTGCCATCAAGCGTAAACTCATTTCTCTTGCCAAGCTTTGTCGCACTAACCCCATTTCGGTGGAATTTTTTGCTAATTGTTTTGTTGTGAAGGACCTTCGCACGAGGGCCCCACTTCAGAAAGGGGCAAATAATGGGGATGTCTATGAGCTGCCTAGTAATGTAGATAATGTTCGTCTGGCCCTTGTCTCCACTCGTACCACTTCCACCTCCTGGCATGCGCGCCTTGGTCATCCGTCCGCTCAATCTCTCACCAGTCTTCTTCGTTCATATTCTTTGCCAGTATTTAGGGATGGCAACAAAACCCGAACCCACGGGTACCCACACGACCCAACCCGGCCAACGCGGATAAAATCCGTATTAACGAGTTTTTGGCCGGTTTGAGTTTAAACTCATTCACTATTCACCGGGTTGGTTTGGGTTTAGGTAAACCTGGCCCATGGGTACCCGCCCACATCGGGTTGGAGAAGGAAAGAATCACATTGCAACCCCTGTTTTTTCATTGATCCGCTTGGCTAGCTGGAAGCCAGATCGGAGCACCATGTCAATGAAGGCTAGCTCCGAAACTAGCTTCCGCTTGAAGGAGATCGGCGTGCTCTTCGGTTTCCTCGGCAGCGGCAGGCAACTCAGGATCGCTGGGATCTTGACTTCCGTCAATTTTGGTGTCTGGCACTCCTCGTCGCTGGAATTGACGATTTCCTTCTCCACCGAATTATTTCGATATGAATTATTGTTTAGAATTACAATGTCGTCTTTGCCGCCGCCGCTGCAAGCCCGGGGAGTGTCCCGGAGACTGATCCCGATAGCCGACTCGAATTTTGGGCAAACTGGGCAGGAATCGAGATCAGCGGACATGGCTTTTTTGTTTATTAAATTATTAATTAATATGATAAATCATATAAAAAAGTAAGTGGAATGATGATGTGGAAATTTAAATTATTTTTTTTTGGTTGAATCAGTTGCTTTTATTGCTCAAAAAAATAAAAGAAACCGATACAACGAGATAGGATCTCATAGACCCTATGCAAAACAACTTCCTCTACTATCCCTCCCCACTATTACAGCCAGTACTACTTACAAGAAAGAAAAACTAGAACAAATTTAAGTACCAAAAATCCAAACTATAGGTACCCCAACCCTTCCAGTTCAGCCTTCAACTCTGGTTGACCAGTAACTATGTAAAATAACTCCTCCTTCAGCAGGCCAACTAGTCGAATAGGAGACTTACAGACAAAACCGTGAACCACAGCACATCGCTCTTTCCACACGAAAGACAAAATAATACACCAAATCATAGCATGCCAATGCCCCATCTTTGAGTCCTTGTTCACTATATTTACCACACCATTTAACATTGCATCCCAACTACCATAGTTAAACAGAGTGCATCGGATAGCAGAGGCAACCTGGCGTATAAACAAGCACTGCACAAACAAGTGCTCTCTTGATTCAGCAGCCCCTCCACATAACGGACAGGAAGCATCTGTAAGCTTCCCCCACTGCAACAGCTTGTCTCGAGTAACAATAGAGTTCCTAGTTATGAGCCAAGCAAGGAAATTATACCTTAACGAGAAGGGTTTACACCATACCAGCTTGTACCATGGAACCTCAGACTCACGAAGTCTTAATGTCTCCCAAACTTGGCGCACTGAGTACTTCTTCATCAGCGCTGTCCCCCAGTAAATCTCATTGTTGTGCTTATTTAACCAAGTTTGAATCAAAGGCCTCAGCTTCAACAATCGTCTCCATGCCCAAGAACTACTATATGAAACCTTCATTGTCCACAAATCCCCCTGCCTACACTTATATGCGGGTTTACCCTATACCAACTTCTAACCCGGCGGGTAGAGCTTTCTAAAATACCCGACCAAATAACCACCGGGTATGAAAATTATATAACCATACCCTACCCACCGGGTAACCACGGGTATTCGGGTAACCATGGGTACGAACCCTAAACTATGAACTTATACACATATATGCACATACATACTGTTGTCCATTAAAAATTTTCAATACTTCTTTATAAAAAAAAATTCTCAATACTTATAACTGTTCGAGTTTCAACAATCCACACAAATAAAAATAGCAAACACATAATAATTGTTCTTGCTTCTACAATCCACACAAACATAATAATCGTCTACATCTTCATCATCAATAATGGTAGCTAAACTCAATTTCTCAAGCTAATCTAAATTTCTCAAGGGAAATTGACCCTTTGGTTAGCGGGGCGGGTATAACGGAGCGGGTATTATCGATTATCA